ACTTAAGTGGACTCGTACTCCTTGGAAGGGCTGTTTTCCCATTCGTGTTGATCCTAATCCTACCGTTTCAACTCTCCCCGCTTGGCTTGAGGGTGAGCCTCGGCTTTACAACCCGACTTCGTCGTGCTCATCCGGAGAGGCTCCGTTCGCTGTTCTATCCTCCAGAGGGGAAGATCCGAACGTCTTCGTGTGTTTTCCCGCTTGCGGCTATTGCACTACACCTCCATGACCAATACACAAATTGTTAGGACTCCCACAGATCACGCCATTCACAAGAGTCTTAGAATCATCAATAAATATACCCAACTCTTCTTTGCTACTTGCCCATTTCCTTTCGTCTTCTTCGCGACCCTTTCATAATGCCTCCTTTTTCTTCTTTCCTCAAACAATTTTCCTGGGGAAGACAGAGACAAGAAGCACCCTAAACGCGCAATACATCGGACAGGACGACTAAGAACCCGCCCGAAAGAGCGGGGTTAGGTCGATAAGCTAATGGGCGCAACAGTTTGCGCAGATGGGAGAAAGATCTGTGTCACAGACGGTGCGTCGGTAGGGGCAGCGTTTGAGTCACTGGCGTCGCGCTCATAGTTCACGTGGAATACGAAAGCGCGAAAAGAGCGCCCCATCTTATTTAGACCGGCTTTGGGCGCCTCAATGTAGGCGTTGCGGCATAAACGTGACAATGCGGGCGAGTGAAGCTTAAGGCCGAAGTGACCTCCGTTCTTTAAGGTCTTGGATTTGTCCTGTTCCAAGGACACCCGCAGTTTTACCAACATTTTGTGGACTTCGAATGTGTCGCGCACACTGTCGGCCTCAATAATGGCATGGCGGACAACGCAGCAGCGGACATGCAGGAACTACTTTCAGTGCGGGGCGCTCCATGGCAAGCAGTTTATAAAAAACGACATGCCCGCGCAGCCGGGAAGTTAGTGCTGCGGGCATGAGCGTCGGTAGCGGTGGCGGTGGGATGCATGCAAGCGCATATGCGGAAACGAAAAAGGTCGGTTATTTAATCGGCGCAGTTGGGTGCAAGCAAACGTGCTTTGGCGGAAAAGGCAGAGACAGGAGGCAAAAAATCGTTAAGTTACGAAAAATATGGGTTCTGAAGAAATACAGAGTAATGGTTTTTAAAAAGAAGTTTTTGTGAGTGGCGGTTGCGGAGTTTTGGCGTGAGGGGCAAGCAGATCGCAATCTATCAGACAAATTACGCAACTTGAGGCACAAATCAACTGCAACCATAAGTCAAAGACTGCAAAGGTTGTTGACGAAGACCAAAAAACGACAGGAAGAAGCACATGCAGACGGTGAGAGCGTTGCACTGTCTGATGTAGGAGCGTTTGCTGTTGAATGCGTGTTGCAGATGCGGTAAGGTGGTTTTGAGCCGGCAGCGCACGAGCAGATGTGAGCGCTGCCTGTGGTCATGTTCAAAATAGAATAGATCGCGCGTTTCGAACTTGAAAGCGCCGAGTTGTAGTTGGTGCTGTCTGGTTGGCTACGGTGTGCGCTGAGTGCCGTGGGGGGGCTAACTCAGGCGTATGATTGGATGCTTGAGAATTGGCCTTGTGTGGCTCTGAAAGCGGTCCCCTGGTCAGCGCCACTGGCTGAATAAACGTGAACTCCTCACGCTCATTGGTAAAATCTTAATTTTGTTTCTACATTTAGATTGAGCTCTAGTTTCTATTATACTGCTGAGTTCATATGAAGTCAAAACAATCAACTTATCCTTTAATTTTAGTTATTTTGATCCGATACATTCGCCTTTTGTAGTCCGTATAAGTAATGCAACTTGTATTTGTATAGCAAAAATTCTAAGCTTCTGTTGTTTATGCTAGTGTCTATCGAACCGCTGACCTCATATGAGGTCAAAAAAATAAACTTAATCTTTATTTTTAGTTATTTTGATCGGATTTTTTGCCTTTTGTAGTCCGTAGATATTATGCAACCTGTTTTTGTATAGTAAAAATTCTAAGCCTCAGTTTTTATGCTCGGTGAAAAGCAGAAACATAAGACAACCATATGGGTTAATAGAGATGTGCTTGATATATCGAATTTACTACAGAGCTTCAGAAAACAGACTTTTTTGATATCAAAAACGTACTTTTGATTCAAAAACACCGTTTCTGACGCGTGTATAAAAGTTTCAAAACTTTCAAAAAATAATCATTTGGCAACATTACATCCGAGTGGATAGACAATAATGTCTACCTGACCAGCCACCTCATATGAGGTCAATTTTAATTACTCTAGAACTTTATCAAAACTTTTTCACTTTGATCTTCTCATCATGTCTTCTACGCTGGCAGCGCTGAACCAAGTCCACAACACCTCACCAACAGTCGTAGCTGTCACATCAAGCACTATCGTCAACAACATTCGTACACAATGGCCCCATCCACAGATCTTATAGTTCAAAGACCACCTGGTTGGCCATGTTTCATGTTCGAAATTTGAAATGTGGGGCCATGCGGATCAGATTTCAATTTTTTTTTTAATTTTTGCGTGCTGTTGCGCTGACCTCATATGAGGTCAGCGCACCGGTCCGATAGACACTAGCCTTCGGACGTGCAGCCAACAGCGTAGATACGGTTCAAAGGTAACTTACGTGCAGAGGGCACGGCAGTAGAAATGGACGTCGGCGATGCAGCCATCACAGCGCACACAACACAGAGCTGCCAACGTGTCGCACACCGTGCACATCGTTGCTCCTCCAATCCCTGACACAATGCCTCCATAACTCCAACACCGCCACCATCGCCCCGTACTATATCCACGCCTGGCCTCCTGGTGTCGTAAATAAGCACCCCCGTTTCGCAACACTCCCTGTTCATCCCCCAAACCGCGATCTGTCATATGGCGAAGGCATTGCGCCGTCTCGCCGTCCTTGCGGGTGTCTCCGGCGCCACCGTCGCCGGCATTACCACTTACACCGCCCCCCTCGACCATCCGCCGCCGATCGCGCTGCTCTTCTCCATGGAGCATTGGAATCTGTCCCGACGAGACAAGAGCAGCTTGCCAAATTAAAAAGCGCATCCTCCGCTTCCAACCAGTTTGATGTCCTCATCATTGGCGGCGGCGCGACAGGCACTGCTTCCGCCCTAGACGCTTCACTGCGAGATCTGAAAGTCGCTCTTGTGGAACGCGATGACTTCGCGTCTGGAACTAGCTCGCGGTCCACCAAGCTCATACACGGTGGTGTGCGATACCTGGAAAAGGCCTTTTTCAACCTGGATCCGGGCCAGCTTAAGCTCGTGTTTGAGGCGTTGCGCGAGCGTGCAATCATGCTGCACCAAGCCCCTCACCTTTCTGCTCCGCTTCCAACCCTCTTGCCTTGTTACAAGATGTGGGAAGTTCCTTTCTACTGGGTCGGACTCAAGGCGTACGATTTGGTGGCTGCTCTCGGAAATGGACTGTTGTACATGAGCAAGTTTGTCAGCGCAAATGAAGCCATTCGACAGTTTCCCACGCTCAGCCGCTTCAGTCAAGGACAGAAACTGCGTGGAAGCATTATGTACTACGACGGACAGATGGATGATGCGCGCTTCAATGTGAGCTTGGCGCTTACTGCGGCGCTTTACGGGGCGGCGGTTGCAAACCATACTGAAGTAATTTCGTTGATTCGTGAAAACGATCGCGTGGTTGGAGCAAAGTGTCGCGACACATTTACCGGCGATGAGTTTGATATCCGCGCCAAGGTGGTTGTGAATGCGACCGGACCGTTCACAGACAGTGTTCGGCGTATGGAGAACGATGAGGCCAATGCAATGATCGTACCATCTGCCGGAGTGCACATTACATTACCGTCGTATTATTCGCCGGATGGAATGGGATTGATTGTCCCAAAGACCAAGGACGGACGTGTGGTGTTTATGTTGCCGTGGCTCGGGCGCACGATTGCTGGAACAACGGACTCTAGCACAGAGATTACGGCGTTGCCTCGTCCGCATTCGGCGGAAGTGGAATTCATTCTAGATGCGCTCAAGGATTATTTACGAATTGATGTTCGTCCGTCGGATGTGCAGAGCGCTTGGTCTGGCATTCGACCGTTGGCAGTGAATCCCGATGCGGACAACAGCTCTACGCAAAACATTCTTCGCGAACATGCGGTGCATGTATCGCCTGAAAAGGTGGTCACCATCACCGGAGGAAAATGGACGACGCAACGAGCCATGGGTGAAGCCGCGGTAGACCGTGCCATCCAAGTAGGTGAACTGGAAGATAAAGCAAGTCGTTGCAAAACTCCGTTCGTACAACTTGTCGGGGCGCACAAATGGGACAACGCGTACTTCACATTCCTGACGCAGAGGTACGAAATTTTGGGAACTGCACCGACGTCATCGACGACTGCAATTGCGTCGTCGAACTTGGACGTGCAGTGTGCGAAGCACTTGTCAAGGGCGTACGGGGACCAGGCGTTCAAGGTTGCGGAGATTGCTGAGACGGGTCACGGGGCTCGATTGGTGGAGGGGTATCCGTACATTGAAGCGGAAGTTTTGTACTGTGTGCGGGAGGAGTATTGTATGACGGCTATGGACTTTCTGGCTCGTCGTTGTCGACTTGTGTTCCTGGACAGTCGGGGGGCTTTGGCGGCTCTGCCGCGCGTGGTGGCGATTATGGGCAAGGAGCTTAAGTGGAGTAAGGAGAGGATGCGCAAGGAAATTGCGGAGGGTGAGACGATGATTGGGACGTTCTCGTGCGGCATCCCCGATTCCAAGTAGGGGCGTGCTGATGGCGGAGAGCGGCTGCCTTTTGAGCGTGTGACGTTTTACTTGTAGAAGTTGTTTCTGGATATCGTTTACTTGAGTTAACTTCGGTGACTTGTTTCCGTTCCCATCGCCCTTTGCTGAAACTGCCCTTGAGCTCTTGAGCTCTTGCGCGATGGGGGTCAGCACTTGACACTGTTCACGAGTGCTCAACAAGAAGTGTTAACTTAGTCGCGGTCGATAAAGCATAGCATAATAAGATTGAAAGAGGCTACGCTCCCAGCAGCAGCAGACGCAACAGCCGATTTAGCTCAGTTGGGAGAGCGCAAGACTGAAGTTCTTGAGGTCCTCAGTTCGATCCTGAGAGTCGGCACGGTTGCGGCCCAACTTTTTGGAGCTGCGATCAACACAGCGCGCCGGCAACGCCGCGCCAGAGGCCAAGGCGGGCAGCCAGCAGCCAGCAGCCAGCAGCCAGCAGCCAGCAGCCAGCAGCCAGCATGCAGCCGGCAGCCGGCAGCGGCCAGCACGCAGCTGCCACAAGCGTTGGCAGCGTAAGGGGCACGCGGCCACGGCGCAAAGCGTATCTCCAAATCTTTTGTCCATTTCGCTTCATTTTTCACGCTGTGCAGCGCGCCGCCATCTGCGCCGTTGCACGCGCGAGCGCAGCAGCGTCGTCTGCGCGCTGCATCGCGCCGGCTCCCACAGCCGCTCGCCGTCCGCTCTGCTCCGCCCCTCCGCCCCTCCGCCCCTCGCCGCCGTCGCGTCATGAGCCCCTCTCTCGTCGTCGTTCTCCTCAACGTCTTGTCTGCTTCTTCTGCCTTTTCTGCCTCTTCTGCCTCTCCCATGAATACCTAGCCTCTTCCCTTCTCATTCGCTCCTTGCTTACCCGCCCTTCCTTGCTCTTCCTCTTACCCCTGTTTGCCCATGCGTCTCCGGGGTGGCGCTTTATGACGTCGTACATCTGAGTCCGCCTCATTTTCTTCCTCGCTCCCGACCACAATCTGCCCCCACCACCCTAATACAAACATGGTATCCAGGAATACATCAAGAGGCACTTCTCAACAAAAAGATTCCTCCAACAACACCCACTCCACCACCGACTCCAACTCCAATACCAACGTCCCAAACAACCACCACAATGCATCCACCTCCTTAGCCCCCCTCCCACCAAAGCCTCTTTCCCGCAGTGGCATTCGGAAACAATCCCCCGTCAACAAAAGCCACAACTCGCACATCCCGCCCAAAACAACCGCGTCCAACAATCCAGAAGAAGTGCCAGCTGGACCCCACAAGAAGATGACAAGCTCAGACACTTGGTAACCATGTATATCTCAAGACCACCTTCAATCACATCCTCCAATACATGGAGTCGAGTAGCCTCTCAACTGCCCAGACGCACCGGTAAGCAATGTCGAGAACGCTACCTCAACCAACTCCGTCCAGGCATTAAAAAGGATCCGTGGACCCCCGATGAAGAACGCATCCTCCACGATGTTCACGCCCGACTGGGAAACAAATGGGTCGCAATCGCAAAACATTTACCCGGACGCACAGACAACTGCGTCAAGAACCATTGGAATTCCATGCTTCGTAAGCGTCAACGAAGGGAGGCCGCGCTTAAGGTCACCGAGAAACATTTCTCTGCCAAACTTTCCCAGCTCAACCGACCTGTTTCAGTCTCTCATAACTCGCATTTGAGTGGCGTGTCTACTCCGTACCCGCAGTGCGCAACCCCGTCCGAGATATCTTCTCATGTTAATGATTTTGCCTCGTCTGGTGTTCCTAGCCCGTTCACAGTGTCATCCCCTATTACCCCGCGTCGTGATGCTAAGCTGCAGATCTCCAGTCTCATTGTTCCGTCTGGAAAGGAGATGCTCGGTTGGAATATCCTAGACAATGTCAGGTCCACACCAGCACCGCCTCCCCTTCGCGCGCCGGAAGAGAGGAACTGTGCCATCGCACCTGGAACAATGTGCCCTCCGCCACCGCAACAAATTGCGGTGGTGAATACAGCAGCAGTCCATCCTGCACGGCAACTTACCAGACCAAGGGCAACTACCCATAACGATGGACTAGCTTCTTTCGTTGACCCCGCTTCAACTCCAGAGAAGAGTTGTGCACAAGCTCGTCATGCTCTGTTTGACAAGCATTTTACTCGCATATCAAGGGATGTTATATGTACATCACAGAAGATAGATACCGATCCAAGGAGGAGCCCTCGTCTCACTCCCCCCATGAAACAAACTGAATCGAATGTGGCACCACAAATGTTCGTAGGTGTTCAGAAGAAGCCCATAGCGAAGAGCTTTGCTCCCCGTGATATGCCTAATCCTCTAGCCGCCTTAGCTGCCGCAGCGAGTAGCATTCCGCTCTCTCCTGTCGCTTCTGATCCCCGCCAGAGCGCAGTGCGTTCCGCCCATCCCGCCTCGTCCTCACAGAAGGATTAGGCTGTTTATGGGAACTCACTCCCGGATGTTTTGTCTTTCTCATTGTGTAGCAGTCCTACCGCTAAGTCCTCTGTTGCTCTATGCTTGCGATATCTTCGCGCCGAAGCATTTTCCAAGGCGGAAAAGCCTGCAATGTAGATCACAAGGCAGAGCATGGTTTCTTATCTTAACATTCTTTGATGACCTGGCGAGAAGGGGTCCTAAGGTTCACGCAGGGCCTAATGTTGCTTCAGTTGGGTTTCCATTGTTCCAGTTCAGCATGAACTACTATCGTAATGTCACAACCGATGCATACGACAGTGAAGCTTTGCCTGGTCTTGTCTTGGGTATCATTTTGTGGAACCGTTTCGTAGAATAGAACTTCTGTTTTGCAATACAATTGTTTCATTAGTAAAAGTATCGTTGTCACCTTTAGCATGACCTGTACCGTTCCGTAACGCTGCTAACTCCTAGACATCTTGTCCGTTTTCCTGGTCTCAGAGTCGGACTACCTTCGTGGAGGCGATGGCGAAATATCCTTTTTTTTCTTTACTTTCACCCCATATTGCCAGGACACAGAATCTCTCTGGCGACAATTTGATCACTGTTGCTAGTGGTTGAAACCACAACAAAGTCTACAGGGACGGGAGAGATAATAGAGCAGACGTTAACAGCCCTTCTTCGTCGCTCATGCTACACGTACAGAGATGTTCCTTAGCGCTTGCCAACGACAAAATATGTCTTGTGTTGCGGGGTAAGCATACAGCAGTCATATCCTTGGCACACCTTTACAATTCCTTTTACGACTGGTCCTTCACAAACCTCTAGAGGTGACTATGACTATGCGTTGTATCGGTTCTCAGATTCTAGCTATGAATTAGAAGATGGTTAGTTATCACGTGTATCAAAGGTGCGTAGCAGGTCAAAAGTCATGGCATTGATGGTGATCAATTTCCACAGTTGATCAGATGAGAACATCAGCATTCTAATCAGAACATGTATTTGTCCAGCCGTATGACTGAAAGCTGTCCCTTGAAAGGAACTGGGGAGCTCACCAACTCAAGTACTGGGCATCACATTTGTGACGCTGTTGATATCTCACAGGTAAGCAACGATCATGTCATATGAACGGGCTCAACTCAAGAAACTCTATGATGCTCGAAAAGCCATCCTTTGAGCTCTTGACCTTCTTAAAGAACTCATCATGTCGTGTATTCTTTTCCTGCAGTGCTTGAGTCATGTACACCATCCCATCCATTTCGGGGGCGCACTTTGGACACTCTTCGCTCCACATTTCCGTTCGCTCCCCTGCAGCTCCAGGTAATACTCCGCTTCCACCTCCAACTCCACCCGGGGCCAGACAGCTGGCATGATATGCATGTTTGCAGTAAAAATGCACAGCTGGTACGGTGAGGTCATCATCACACATTGAACATGTCTTTTTGTTCATAGTGAACGCATCATCGCTCAACCGCATTACTTCCTTCCGCAGCTCCTTAAGCTCTGTTTCGAGCACGGTACTTGCATGTTCCGAAGCGATCGCATCACGCCGCAGCGTAGAAGTACACCGTTCAAAGTACTCGCGCACCAAACCCCAAGCACCATCCGGGCAAGCTTGTGTTACGATTTCTATGATCTCGACCGGGGATAGAGTACCGCTTCTATCCAGCGCTAACATGGCCTCTTCCAGCACCTCCTGAGCGCTACCTTTCTCGCTTTCAGAATCTCGTGTGAGACGTGATAATGCGGTACCGTCACTGACAACGCTAGCCAGATCATCTTTAGAAACGTCTGCCGCTTGCGTTGCTTCCCGACTCGGTTGTTCATCTTCCTGGTATTCTTCCTTTGCAGCAATAGGAGTGAACAAGCGGATGCAATCAATCCAAAGATCTGGTTCTCGATCCCCGTGACGTCGACAAGCCCGAAGCAAAGCAGGACCGTTCTCCGACATGCGTAAACACATGCCAAGTTCTTTGTACATTCGCAAGTGTTCATAGAGGTACTGGAGGCATGGCTCGTGTCCATATTGCTCGGCGATTTCTAGCGCCGCGCGCAAGTCAATCACCGAGCGTCGACTCTGCAAGATGCGAAGCGCTCGCCTTCCAATGTGTCGCTTTTCTTTTACGCTGGCGTTCGCATTTGACGTCAGCACAGCTTCCGCTTCTACTGTTGATACGGCAGAGATACTCTCGTACTCCGATTTGGCGTCTGCCGCAGAAACTGAAGCTGGGACTCCGTCCGGACGAAGTCGTTCAGCCACGTCGACGCACGCAAGAGACTCAAACAGAAGAATCCATGCTTTTGGAGCATCAGCGGTAGTGATACCACCCGGTGCCTTGACAAGTTTGTCAAGAAAAACAGCACGCCAAGCAGGTTTGTCGACAAACATGGGCAGAAAGTAGTCAAGCCTCAACGTCGGCCCAACGCTGTTAATGGGCATCTTTGCGGTAGATCGACAAATAGCTTCGGAAAGGTACTGCACGAAACGGTCAGGGTTGATGACGAGCAATTGTCTTCCGCACGCTCGGAGAACTTTGAGCGCCTCATCATCTGGAAGCGAACGGAGTAACTCCAAAGTCTTAATTGGCTGCTTGAGATCTTCGACTAAGGTGCAAGCTAATTGCACGTATCGCGCTCGACGCCTCGACACGCGCTCTGCAACCTTGAAAAGGCCCGCCTGTCGACAAAGGCTGATAGCAGCGTCGACTTGGTCCTCCGTCCAATCTACATCACTAAACACGTTTATGACATACTCGTCGGTAGTCTTCTCAGAAGCTTTGGTGCCAAGGATGATGCCACGCGCACGATCATGTCTGTAACAAGTTATCAAGACTTTGGTATGCACGAAGTCGGCCTTGCCCGCAGCGTGAAGAGCCTCCAGATAATGCCTCAGCCCAGAGCGGAGTCCCGACTGTTCAACCAGACGAGAAATGACCCAACTGGGTTC